CCAGCACGTAGAATTGTGTCACACAGATGATTAATAGGTAACATATTACCAGGCCTTAGAATGGCCGGACTTAACGTACCAAAGAGTAGTCAGGATACTTGCCGAGGTCAGGGGATACAGAAAGAGACACAATGATAAGGGAAAGCCAGAAGTCAGAGATACCAGAATACAGGAAAGTAAAACTCAAAGCCAAAGTCAAAAACCAGAAGAAACTTGAATCAGGAACGCACTCTCGAACAACCACTAGGGAAACCACGACAGGACACTGAGCAGGATGAGAACTGGGCCTAAATACCTCGGGATCTGATAGGCTGTAACTGGCCTTTGACCCCAATTGCAGTTACCAGGTTCCCATTTGCACAATTGCTGCTCAGCACAAACCTTCCTGTGGATTGATTGCTGCTCTGCACAACTTTTCCTGTCAGGACAGTAATGTCGCTCGGCATGACTTTTCCTGTCAGAACAGTAAATTTCATTAATCACATTTTTATATGCGGATTAATACGTGACAAGTACTGACACTGAACTTGACCCAGTTAGTCCTGTTGCTTACTGGGTCCTTCAAATGAAGAGAGGCTGAACCTCATTTGGAACAAACCCACGACAAATGCAGGAAGGTGGCCAAAAAAAAAGAAAAAAGTGTTTAACCCATTAAGGACCAAACTTTTGGAATAAAAGGGAATCATGACATGTCACACATGTCATGTGTCCTTAAGGGGTTAAAGTCCCGTAGAACCAGACAGGAAAAAGACTGTGGTGTAGGGGGAGGAGGGACTCTTTATACCTATCAGTCTAATTAATTAATCTAATTAATTCATGTCCTGTGACTGCTAAGGGAGGAGCTACCCATACGTGATGCTGCCATGATTAGCCAGGAAAAGCTGCTTTCGAAATGCACATTGTAAATTTGGTTCAGGGGTTAATTGTCTTGGATTTGTGCAATGTATTTGTTCTACTCAGTAGAATGAACCCATGCGAACATATACTGTATACCATATGAATGTAACAATTGTAACAAGGATGTGTCCTGTTTATGTACATTGTCTGATCTCATTTTTCCATCTGAAACAAAAATGTGAATAAAAAAGATATATGAAAAAAAAAAATACTTACCATTTGATACAAAGTGAAATATACAAAATGGTGAGAGCACTCAATAGTCATAAAATTTACCAATAATTCATAGGGTATATTCCTAAAAAATGAGATAAAAGACCATAGGGTAATATAGTAAAAACTAATATTAAAACACCATATTATTGGTCAAACTCACACGTAGCTGAGTCACTTTAAAAGCTGACTCAGACTATAAAGCGGAGAAAAGCAGCTGTAATGGTGGATATCTGCTGGAACCAGGATACTTCCTGTTGTGTCAAGAATAGTATCTTCAAAAGACCCAGGATGCAGGATCACGTTAAAGGTACAATTTATTGAACATAAAATACAAATAGTAATAAAAACAGAAAAAGTCCACCAAATATAGCCACCTGACGCGTTTCGGCGTTACAGCCTTCTTCAGAAGTGGTGATTCTGCTCTTCACTGCTGGTTCTTCTTTTAAACCTGTATATTGGCGCCTTTCCTCCCGTCTTCCATTTCCGTATTCGTCATAATTGCCCGTCTAGCATGCTCGGCGCGTGTGTTCTGCATCCTTGCGCCGTGTCGTCAGGGCATAACCGTGATACCGGAAGTTACTAAGTAGCCATTCCTAAAAGTCCATCTGCAATACAATCCTTGCCAGTAACTTTCTTACACGGAATTATCTCAGACGGCATAATAAAAGTAAAAATGCACATAAAATTACAAACAATAGAAGTATGATCACAAGGGGGTACTTCCAACCTTAAACATGCAAATACTAACTAAGAAGATTTATACATATGAGACACATAAGTTGCATATCAAAAATAATATACTAAAACAGGTACATATTAAAACTCTTTCATTGAATGCAATAAATTAACCCAACGATTGTAGACAGGAGGGTTAAAATGATAACATAAAAGATCAAATGAAATAAAATAAAATAAGAATAAGGGATAAAAAAGAGAACACATTATGATTAATAAGGGTGCATAAAAACATTTTATATACTAGAATTTATTCAAGCCGTGAGGTATCAAAGAATCCATATTAAAAATCCACCTCATCTCACATTTACTAAGGAGGCTTTCAATATCTCCTCCTCTCCAATGTGTTTTAACCCCTTCTATTCCTACAAATTCTATTCCACTAGCATTCTCACCACTGGCTTCCAAAAAATGTTTAGATACACTATGTTGTAAAAACGTCCGATTAATATTGTAGATACGGATTTTTAAAGCCCTTGATGTTTTGCCAATATATTGATATTCGCAGGGGCATACAACCATATATATAATATTTTTTGAATTGCAGGTTAAAAATAACTTAATATTGTATTCTTGTTGATTCGTGAATGAGGTGAATTTCGTGATACTTTTATTTCTATTAATCCTCAAAGTGCACCCTCTACATGACATGCAACAGTAAAACCATTTTTTCCTTTTAAAAAACGTTGACATGCTAGTTTTATTAAAAGTTTTATCATTATCTAAAAAGCTTGTAGTTAAAATTTGTTTAAAACTTTTTGCCCCTCTATGAATAATTTTAGGTCTTTCCCCCAAATAATGGCAAATTTCTTTATCCTCCTCTATGATGTGTCAGTTTTTTTGTATTATCTTATGCAGGGAATTACTATTTGAACTATAAAAATAAAAATTATAGGTATTTCTTCATTCTCTTCTATGGGTTTTTTATTTTTCCCTTTTAAAATATTATCCCTTGGTTCTGCTTCAATGTGTGGACATATTGCTTTCAAGGAATCATAATTATAGCCTTTATCCACAAGTTGAAAAAGTAAAAACATTTTTCAAAACAGTGGATGTAAATAGTTTTATTGACCTTAAAAGCTGTCATTTTAACCACTTAAGGACATATGACATGTGTGACATGTCATGATTCCCTTTTATTCCAGAAGTTTGGTCCTTAAGGGGTTAAACCGTGGTTGGCCAACATACCAAAAGGCCAATTTTTAAGGTTGAGACGTAATTGCACTGAATTGGAACAGTTTAAATGCCAGTCAAAAATCCTGATCGACCAACTTGTGGATAAAGGCTATAATTATGATTCCTTGAAAGCAATATGTCCACACATTGAAGCAGAACCAAGGGATAATATTTTAAAAGGAAAAATAAAAAACCCATAGAAGAGAATGAAGAAATACCTATAATTTTTATTTTTATATTTTTATTTTTTTTGCGTAAGATAATACAAAAAAACTGGCACATCCTAGAGGAGGAGAGCAGTGGCAGTCACGCCTCCTAATCCTGACATCATCAGCGGATCGCTGTGGAAGTTACTCCCCCTCCTCCTGTTAGGCTCTAAGAATTTTACAGGGTCTGTAACCCTTTAAGCTGCCATGGACTTATGCCGTAACACATCCTGCTTTCCTTAATCTTTGTATATGTCCTGCAGATAACAATTAATGTACAATTAAAGCACACCAGTCATTATGAAGTTTAAGAAATAAGTGCTTTTTAATGCGTGTGCATCATATTACATGATAAACAGTTTTCATAGGGGTGTGTCCAACAGAAGACAAAATCAACCAATCATTCAGTGCAAAAAGTATAATTATTTATATAACATTACGTATTACAGTTATTCTACTGCGCATGTCTAACACGTCTTCTCGAAACTCTGCAAAGGTTTTCTTGTGAGAGAAAAAGGGAGTATGTGTGCTGGCAAGATAGCAGACAGTGGGTAGAATTTTTGCTTTTAACCCTTGCAGACGTGGAAAGACTAAACTAAGACTAAAACTGATATACATGACAGTCTTTGATTTAGGAACCCAATTAAAATTTTCAGGTGGTTAGAGAGAATGTTATGTTTTCCAATGGCAGGATGTTTATACACTATAGTGGAAACTAGTGTCAGGCTCTCAACAGAAAAAATAAAGTATGTTAAAAGAATGCCAGTTTAACCCTTTCAAAGCCTGAGTATCTACTGACCATTCAGTCTTGCAAGTAATGTATATACATACAGAAGTAGAAAGTAGGAAATTGACATCCTGTAACATAGTATATATATATATATATATATATATATATATAGCTCTGTATGTCTAGGAGAATATTCAATAAGCATTGCATACGTAAAACAATTTATTCTCCATCAATCCCTCCTATTCACAATACGCCCAATGCACATTGTGAATAATATACATTGGGAATAAAGCCTACCCCTCCTCTGCCAACTAGGGTATAGGATTAACTTGTCTGCCTGGTGATCTGGCGCCAGGAAAAACGCACATTAGAGAAAACTCACATTGGAGAAAACCTGGCCATACAGATACGTCATTCCCAGCGCTGGTTAGAGTATACTTTAATGATGTTATGGTCTGACGCCTTAAGGGGGTAACCTGTGCCCGAAACTCCAGCTACAGTCACCCTACCCTAAATGCATAAACCTTGAAATAGGACAGGGACGAACAGGGAGCCCTGGACGCCAGGGCACCAGCGCCAGATGTTAATATAAATCTAGGGGTTGTAGTAAGCACTTAACTGAAAACGAGAGAAATCTCAATGTATCTTTCCTGGTAAAATATTTTATAAATAAATAATAACTAGTATGAGTTACATACACCTAGTCAATCCTCCATTTTCTTATTAGTAAGCTTTCAGTAATAGAAAAATAATAAGTTCATTCATTGTACAAAGGCAAAAATAGTGACAAAAAAAAAATAACAGGAAGAATTTCCCATAACCCCTTCTTTGCTATTCCTTCCAAATAACCTCCTAATCTAAATGTCCAATCAAATTATCACAATGATTCAAGCCAATTGGAGGTTAAGCAATATCGAGGCTGCATATTAAGTGTTGTCTGTCTACTCTCAGGGGAGGTACACTTCTCTATGCAAGTAAGTTCAAAATTTGTGGAATATATTCTTTTTTTTTTTTTTTTTTTTTGCAGTTGAACTTGGTTTATTATTTATCCTTTTTATTATTTTGTGTGTTTAACATAGGTAGACATAAGATTTAGTACAGCGAGCTTATCATAAGGTTACAATTTCTGTGTTTCATTACTTTAAACAGTACTAAAATATCGCATAGTTGAAGGTACATTTTGTAGTATAGTCATCACCACAGGAAGGAAACTAGTGGCAGATGAAGCGTCCGAAAGAATAACATTACAAGCAAAGGTATAGTAACAACAAATAATTGAAAGGAAACCTTACATTAATGTAATACCTGGAGACCTGATTCATACAAGAATGCTTCACATATATCTAAAGGAACAATTCCCTTCTATAGGTCGGAAAACCTAGGCTCGGCAGAGGGCTATTGAGTATATGAAGGGAAAGGTGGGTGTATGGAAATAGGGGATGGTACCTTGCCGTCCCCTCTGGGAAGCCGGCTTGAGTAGCGGTTGTATGTGACTTGTTAGTCCGTTACTTTCAACTCCCACCGGCCTCATCTGTGGAGGAAAGGGCTGAAGAGAGAGCTGCGGTGAGATGGTGGAGGGGGAGGCAGAAGTTTTAGGAATAAGGCTTGTGTTTTTGATGAGAATAAAGGCATATGTTAAGTCAGCCTATTATGGTGGGGGAGGGTTGCAGTGCATGTATTGAATCCATGGGTCCCATATGGACATGAATTTAACTTGTTTTCCCATTTTAGCTGAGGTAATTTCTTCCATCAATTTGATATCCTCAACTCTCAGTTTCCATTCGCGAATTGAAGGTGGCCTGGATTGCTTCCAAAGTTTAGGAATTAGTTGGGAAGCCGCCATGGCCAAGTGGCGGAACAGGGCCGCTTCTAGTGTCGTGAGTGTATGGGGAGATAAGAAAAGGATATAACATTCCGGTGTACACGGGAAAGTCTTATGGAGTATTAGTTGTACTATAGTGTGGATTCTCTTCCAAAATTTCTGAATTATTGGGCATTTCCACCAAATGTGGGTGTGGTGTGCATTTGAGTTTTGACATCTCCAGCAGAGATCTGGGACTGAGTTAAAGAATTTGTGGAGTTTAGCGGGTGTGTTGTGCCATCGTGTTACTTTTTTGTAGTTACATTCTTGTGCGTATGCCGAGATAGAGGATTTGTGGACGGAAATGAAGGCATTCTTCCATTGCTGGGTAGTGATGTTGGTTTGTAGTTCCTCTGCCCATTTTAGAGTGATGTTTGGGTGGTTTTGAGGGTATGCCTCTCTAATTACTGAGTGTAGAGTGGAAAGCAGTTTTACCTTTGGTGGGTGAGAGGTGCATAACAGTTCAAATCTAGTTAGAGGTCTAATGCCTTCTGGTAGTAGTGACTGGGTTTTGATGAAGTGGTTCAGTTGGTCGTGGAAAAAGATTTGGACCCCCGAGTGGGTGTTAGAGAGGGTGAGTTCATGTAAGGGTTTTAGTTTATTTCCTGATGCTGCTTCGCTCAACCTCAGGAAGGGGCCCTCGTACATAAGTCCAAGTTGTTTCCCTGTTGTTCCTTTGTGGAAGTGAGGGTTCAGGGTTAGGGGAAAAATAGGAGAAGGGAAGGGCGAGATTTTTGTTTGCGTTCTTAGTCTGAACCATATGTGTAATGTCGAGGAAATCGTTGGGTGATTGTTTAGTTTTTCCAATAGTTTGGGGTCTTTGCGGAGCCAAGGATAAGCGCAGAGTGGAGTGTCAACACAACTGTTTTCTAGTGCTACCCATTGGAGTGTATTGGGTGTTTTCGTCCATTCATAGATTCTCTGCAAATGTGTTGCTTTATAATAAGTTTCTATGTCTGGAAGGTTTAGACCCCCTTGATCCTGTTTTTTAGTTAATGTATGGTATGCTAGGCGTGGGGGTTTGTGGGCCCAGATAAATTTCATGAATAGTGACTTAAGGGAGAGGAAGAGTTTAGCTGGGAGTTTGAGTGGAATCGTTTGAAGTAGGTAGAGGACACGGGGGAGAACGTTCATTTTGAGTATGTTTACCCTGGACATCAACCCAAAGACTGGTTTGTGCCATCTATGTAGGTCTTTTGTGATTGAGTCAATTAGAGGGGGGAAGTTAATCTTATAGGTAGATGGTAGGTGGGTGGGGAGGTGAATACCCAGGTATTTGATTGATCTGGATGACCAGTTAAAGGAGAATTTGGATTTGATCTGGTTGTTCAACAGGTCTGTTGAGAAAATTGGCATCAAGTCGCATTTTGCGAGGTTGGCCTGAAAAAAAGAGAGTTTACCGTAATATTCCATTTCAGAGATAATCATGGGGATGGTCTTGAGGGGCTCCGCTATGGTAAAAAGGAGATCGTCCGCAAACGCTGTAATTTTATAGTTATGATTGTTAACCTGGATTCCTCGGATGAGGTCATTGTCTCTAATGCCTTGGAGAAATGGTTATAAAACTAGAATGAATAAAAGTGGTGATAAGGGACAGCCCTGTCTCGTGCCATTAGAAATAGTCACCGCGTTAGATAATTGACCATTGATTCTCAGTTTCGCTGTTGGTTTTGAGTATATCATATCTATCCACTCCAACCATCTAGTGCCAAAATTTAAATATCGCAGGGTGTGTTTCAGTAGCGTCCAGTTGACTCTATCAAAAGCCTTTTCGGCGTCTATGGCCAGCAGAGCGCTCTGTGTCTTATGTGTTTGTGCCCAGTGGATGATATTGATGATTTTTGTGGTGTTGTTTTTAGCTTCCCTACCTACCACGAAGCCCGCCTGGTCCGGATGTGTTAAAGTCGGCATGAATGGTTTTAGTCTGGTGGCCATAATTTTGGTTAGTATCTTTAAGTCAATATTTATAAGTGAAATAGGTCTGTAGTTACCACAAACAGTCGTATCTTTACCCGGTTTCGGGATTATTGAAATAGTCGCCTCAAGGGCTGAGTTTGGGATGTGTGATGAAATATTGCTCATATTGTAAGCCTCAATAAATGGTTGTGCTAGTATGTGTGAAAGTGCCTTGTAGTACTTCCCTGTGTAGCCGTCTGGGCCTGGGCTTTTACCTAGGGGCAATGATTTGACCGTGGCATGGAATTCTTCTAGAGTGATTGGGTTATCAAGAAATGCCGTTTCGTTGACAGGGATAGTATGCTTAACTCTGGGTTTTAGGAAGTCTAATATGTCTTCTGTTGTGGGTTTTGTGTTGGTGAGGTTATATAATTTTGAGTAAAATTTGTGAAGGATTCCAGTATGTCTGGCATATGGCACGTTAGGGTGCCATCTTCTTTCCTAATTTCAGAGATGAAAGAGGATTGTCTGTCCAATTGTATAGATTTTGCGAGAAGTTTGCCTGCTTTGCCCCCTTGAGTGTAGTATGTGTTTTTTGTTAGGGATAGTTTACGCTTAGCGTGCAGGTGCAGAGTAGCTGTCAGCTCAGTTCGTTTACTGGAAAGTAATTTATGCTCGTCTAGTGAAAGAGTGGTTTTGTGTTTGTTTTCCAGGTTTTTAATGTCTCTAGTGATTTGTGCTATTTCTTTTTCTCTATTCTTTTTAAGTATCGCCGCCGATTTGATTAGTTCCCCTCTAATGACTGCCTTGTGGGCTTCCCATGTCATGATTGGTGTTGTGTCAGAGCGGGTATTTTCTGAGAAGTAGTTAGTTGCTAAGTCCCGAATCTTGGTCAAGATTTCTTTGTCATTCAGAATTAAGTCATTCAGCTTCCATTGAGAGAATGAAGTGGATGCCGCTGGAATGGATAGGGTCAAGGTCATGGGAGCGTGATCCGACCAGGTGATCGGGCCATATGCAGCTGTCTGTATGAGAGGGAGATATCTATGTTGGAGAAAAATGGTGTCAATTCGAGAGTATGTGCCTATGGGTGCGGAGTAAAAGGAGTAGTCCTTTTTAGCAGGGTGTGTGGCTCTCCAACTATCATAGAGTTGAGCTTCATAGAGAGAGTTTTTAAAGAGAGACCTTGTTTGAGTTTGGTAGTCTCTAGATTTAGAAGTAGTGTCTAGATATCCATCTAGAGCAATGTTGAAGTCGCCTCCCACTATGAGAATTCCTTCTTGAAACACTGAGAGTTTGCGTAAGATTTTTGTAAGAGCGTGATTCTGTTTTTTATTTGGCAGGTAGATGTTCGCCAGGGTGACCTGGGTGTTGCCTATTTTACCCTTAACGAACACAAACCTGCCAGAGTCGTCTGCCTCATGTTCTTGATGTGTGTATTGTAAGTGCTGCCCTATAAGGATTGCCACTCCTCTGGATTTAGATTCGGAGAAGTGGCTAAAGTATCCTACTGGAAAGTCTTTATTACGTAGTGTGGGAGAAGAGTCCTTCCTAAAATGGGTCTCTTGTATAAACACTATGTGTGCTTTGTTCCTCTTAAAATCCGTGAGCGCAACAGATCTTTTTTCGGGGGTATTTAGGCCCCTTGCATTTTGTGTGTGGATACGTATGGTAGTCATAATCACTATAGTAGGCGTAGGACTGGGTCGTATTGGTAATGTCTCACCGTGTAGAATATTGTCAAGTGTGTCTATGGCAAGGCTGCACAGGTGAACCCAATCTGGGGGGATGTTACTGTATAATAGATTGAAAAGCGTTTAATAGGTTCCGAGGTCTAGGTTTTCCGAGTTGCAGATTATCTCTTGGTCTACCAGTTTATAAATAGCAAAAGAACCAGTTAAGTTATACAAAAGAATGAATACACAATATAACCAATTAACACTTGTACTGTATGAGAACAATTAACAATTCGCAATAGCTTGAAACACCGTATTTGTCTAATGCGGGTGTCGTCTTTGCTCTGAGGGGTTAGTCCTCAGGTTAGTAAGTTTATGAGATACTAGATATCTCGCTGGGTGAGGTCTTGTGGGTGTGGGGGGGGGGAGGAGGGGGATAAGAGGGAGGGAAGGGGGAAGGATAAGAGTGGTGGAGTTTGGTGGAAAGATTGGGAAAAATATTTCCCTCTGGGGAATGTAGTTCAATCTCGACGCTAGAGATAGAACCTGTAGGTGCTTGGGGTCGTGTGAGCGCGTTTAAGCTGGAGACCCAAGTCTCAATCCAATCTATTAATTAGTTGTAGTGGGGAGATGCAATGGTACGAGTTCCCTCTCTATCTGGTGGAGTTTGTTAGGCATCCATGAACCATTTTTTTTTTTTTTTTTATATATATGATTTACTTTGGGGTGTAAGAAGTCTTTTGTAGGTCTGAGTCATCATAGAGAAATTTGGTGCAGTGGCATCAAGTATTATATTATTGCGTCATATTT